TATTTAATGACCGGAACTATTGCTAAATCTTATCAGGAACTGTAGAACTCTTTGAGAACTATAAAATATCATGTTTAAAATTAATTTTTTTGAAACATAAGGTGCTACGGGAAGTTAGCACCTCATATTTTCAAAATTCATTTTTTTTAACTAAATCAACGGAACTCTTTCTAAAAATTATCAGGAACTGTAGAACTATTGCGGATGCAAATGGAACTGTTGATAAAACTTTCGATTTTTGAAAGTGAGGTGCCAACTTCACAGAGACCCTTATTTCTCCTTAACAAAATTATATCACAAAATTGCGTTACCTAACTCAACCTAAGTGATATGTTATTTCAAAAAAATATATGAAATTTTTAAATTACGCCAACTACAAAGAAAATATATATATATATTGCTTTGAAAAATAATTGTAGTGCAAAGATACATACCACTTGGGTTAAGTTAGGTAATACAATTTTGTTTTATTTTTTTCTTCTTTATTTTGATTCTTTGTAATATTATAATTTTATCAAGGAGAATTAAAACTACTACCACTTGGGTTGGTAGAAAGATCCTCAGGAATACAAAGATACATACCACTTGGGTTGAGTTAGGTAACACAATTTTGTTTTATTTTTTAAGAGTAGTTGCACTACAATTATTTTTCAAAGCAATATATATGTATTCTCTTTGTAGGTGGTGTAATTTAAAGATTTCACATATTTTTTTTTAAATAACATATCAATTAGGTTGAGTTAAGTAACGCAATTTTGTAATATCATTTTGTTAAAGAGAAATAAGGCTACTACCACTTAGGTTGGTACGTATCACTTGGATTGAGTTTGGTAACGCAATTTTGTGGTATAATAATTTCTTTGCAATTTGCGCAATTTAATTTAAAGAGTTCATATCTTTTTTTTTGAAATACATGTCACTTGAGTTAAGTTAGGTAATATAATTTTGTGAAGTAGATAAAACATCAAGAATTGTGTAAAGACTTTAGTAGTTAGAATAGGCCGATTCCACCCCGGGGGCTCCGAGGAGGGGTGAGGGAGGGGGGTATCTGATTTCGCGGGGGGTGAGAGGGAGGGGAGAGGGGCGGCATATCGGGTTACACAAGGGTATCGGGTTTTAAGGATATCGGGTTACGCCGCGAGGGGGGGGGGTTGACCTTGGCATACCACCGTGATGACTCACCATGATGACTCACCGTGATGACTCACCGGGATGAGTCACCGAGATGACTCACCCGCGCTGCGGGTCCGCGGGAGGGGAAGTCCGCGTTCGCGGTCGCGGTCGCGCCGCGGAGGTCCGCGTGGGGGTCCGCGGGGGCTGCGTGGGGGGTCCGCGGGAGCTTCGTTTGCAACGACGCCGCTAGGCGGCGCACAATGGGTAAGACTAACTCGATAGCGCACTGCGTAGAAGCGTGTTCATCGAACCTGTCGGGACACGTTCGTCGTAAACAACATTTTTCTAGGAAAAGGGGAGCGGTTATCGCGTAGACTAAACAAATTCGCTAAACAATCTATCTACGCAGTACGTGAAAGACAAAGGAAAAAATGACGTCATCGGGACGATGATCGACCCGATAACGCATCGAACCTGTCGGAACACGTTCGTCGTAAACAACATATTTCTAGGAAAAGGAGGGTGTTATCTCGTAGACTAAACAATCGATTATCTCGTAGACTAAACAATCGAACCTGTCGGGACACGTTCGACGTAAACATTTTTCCTAGAAAAAAAGGGGGCGGTTATCGCGTAGACTAAACAATCTATTTACGCAGTACGTAAAAGACAAAGAAAAAAATGACGTCATTGGGATGATGATCGACCCGATAACGCATCGAACTTGACGGAACACGTTCGTCGTAAACAACATTTGATAAAAGTTAGGTATAAAAAAGGACATGCACGCAAAAAAAAATACATCGTTCGTTTTAGGGTGTAAAAAAAGCCTGTTTATTGAACTCTTCTTTTTACATAATATACCTCACGTACTAAAAAAATTAAAGCTGCGAGCTCACAATCGATGAGCTGATTCGTATTGAATGCATTGCTAGCGTATATTGCATTCGACGCTTCCCTGGGATCCGTCACGGTGGACGCAATATCGGAGAACTGCGCAAACTTTGCATCGACTACCGCAAGTATTTTAACCAAACGATCGAATCTCGCATCGATGCACCGATCGAGATCGAACATGCGATGCAACGTCGATTCGGTCATCATCAAGCGTACGTTTGCAGATTCTAAACGTATGAGTTTGACGTTTTTAACCGTACAAACTCTCACCGTTAGCGGTCCAACGTCGTTGCGTCGTTGCGAACGAGGCCCCCGCGGACCCCCACGCGGACCTCGCGGCGCGACCGTGACCGCGAACGCGGACTTCCCCTCCCGCGGACCCGCGGCGCGGGTGAGTCATCTCGGTGACACATTCCGGTGAGTCATTACGGTGGTATGCCAAGGTCAATCCCCTCCCCCCCCTCGCGGCGTAACCCGATATCCTTGAAACCCGATACCCTTGTGTAACCCGATATCCTTATGTAACCCGATACCCTTGTGTAACCCGATACCCCACCCCTCTCCCCTCCACCTCACCCCCGCGTTATCTCCTTGTAACCCGATACCCTTGTGTAACCCGATATCCCGCCCCTCCCCACTTCCCCTCACCCTCCGCGAAATTAGATACCCCCCTCTCTTACCCCCCCTCGGAGACCCCGGGGTGGAATCGGCCTATACTAACTACTGATTTTAAAAATCGGACTTTACCGTGGATTGAAGGCTTTATCGTCACAAAGTTCAGGTCCCAGCGTAGAATGTTGGATAATAAGCGATTCCTGAGTCGTTGACGCTCTCATACCTTGACATATATTTATTAATATTCTATACATTATTAATTGACGAAGAATATAGCACGTAAGTAGCATCCACAATTCATTATATTAATTTTGCATATAATTTGGGATCGCTGTAATGACATTTAATTCAGTCGCATTTTTGACTTACAAGTAATGATCGAACCTCCTTAAATGATAGTTAACCTTCAATTGGCGGTCCGAAATCACTCCCAATTTTAAGGGTTTTTCTTTGGTGTATTTTTAACGGTTAACACCAAAAGTTGAGTGTAATTTTTCATAATGGAATCCAGACAATGATTTAGACAATTAAGCCATGATCCATACTTATAATACCAAAATTATAGCAGCCACTAATTTTGGTATTAGAAAAATAATTTCGGACACAATTACATCACAGCATATCTCAAAGATATGTTAAATTTATTATTTGCAATTTATTCAATTCTAAATCTGTTATATTCTTCAGTTTTATATTCTCAAGTTTATATATGGACCATGTAGCCTGAACTACTCAAGTCAACATCGATTTAACCTTGTGTCGATTGTGAAACTCCATTTTGTACCACTAATTTATTATTTTATAATTTTAGTAAGAAAATTATTTTTTATATATTTAAAAAATTATTTTAAAGTATAAATAAAAAACTAATGTATAAATAAAAAATGGAACAAAATGGAAAAATTAAGAAATATCCGCAATTAGTAGAAATAATTTTAGTAAAAACATATTTAATTTTGTAATAGTATAACAAATATTAGTTGCAACAAAGCTTATCAGAATAAAAAAAAATGTGCAAGCAGTAGAAACTTGCACATTATGCTTCCTCATAGTTTTTAAGTGTGCAAGTTTCTACTTGTTTCTCACTCAATTTTAATTTATGCGTAACGCATTCATATTCAATTATATATTACAGCTATCTTCTGCATTCCTTTCACATTAAGGCAAAATCAGTGCTTTATTATTTTTCTTCTCTGCAAAACTTTTTCGTATACCTTTGCGAATTAACAATAATCAATTTAGAACTTACAATTAGAGTAAGTGAATGAAAGAGAGAAGATATTGTACGTACAACAGAGTTTTATTTTGTACAGTCGCCGCCAATTATTCCTTTCCTGGGATAAAGGGGGAACATAAGAATACCTCAGGAAAGGAATCATTGGCGGCGACTGTACATGTGTGGCGGTCTACTCCACTTGTGGTACACGCCCATGCGGTAAATCTACGGTACCTGTATTACCGGCGGCTACTTTGCATCGACGCCGCTAAGCGCCGCATCACCTGTACCGTTTCGCGTATTTCAGATTCAGCCACGATCTATATATAAAGGGACCCCCTACGAGACCAAAACAGATTTTCTTGGGCGCTAAACGCCTATGGCAGCAGCACGTGAATGCTCACCGACACTAGGCGCTTGGACGCCCTCGGCAGTATAGCACACGATTGCTTGCTGCCTTCCTAGGCGCTCGGTCGCCCGCCGACTTCTCGGCGCCAATCGCCCCAGCAGCAGCGCGTGGACGCTCGCTGACTCCCAAACGCATGGACGCCCACGGCAATGGCGCACGGTCACCCACCGACTTCCTAGGCGCCAGACGCTTCCCGCAGTAGCGCTTAGATGCTCGCCGACTCCCAGACGCACGGACGCCCACGGCAATGGCGCACGGTCGCCCGCCGACTTCCTCGGCGTAAGGATGCCTCCGGCAGTAGCACGTGGACGCTCACCGACTTCTTAGATGCACGGACACCTTCGGCAGCCACGAAAGCCAGCCCAAGGAAGGAAGGAATAAACGCGGCCATGCAGACCAAACGAAGAGGCTGATTTTAAGCAAAATGACATTAAAGACACTGACACAATAACACGTGTATATAGTGTAAATATACGTTAATTGTTTAAAATGCAAACATGTGTCACCTTCCTTTCTACCCCTTTGCGATTCACAATCTATGGGCCAACTCCTACTCACGCATTATGGATAAGTTAGAATAAGGTAGATAACCGATAAATATAAAAGTAGTAACGCCCATATATGTGTTGTAGAGTTGCAAATGATAAAAAAAGAACTTGAAAAAAAAAAAAATTATTTTACGGAAAAAAATTAGGTTGTGTGTGGGAATTAAGAACAATTAAGGAATCGCGTGAAAAGAAAAACGGCAGCCTGACTGCAACAATAGTCAATCTTTTTTCTTGCTGACTATTACATAATATCGACCGTTGTTAGATAACTACTAGATATTTACAGGTATTCTTCAGCAATAATTTACATTTACATTTACATATTACATTTACATGCAACAAATTTAGAGTTTTTTAACGATTTTTTACACAACTCATAACAACATCGAATGTGATAACTGTCTCTCAGTAATAAGTTATTAATCGTAATAAAAATAATCACGTTTGCGATGCGTTTGGACTGGCAAACAGTCCTCACGCAAATATGCACAGCGCCACAATATGCACAGACGGTCATTTTTTATTATTTCCTATTTCTATTTTATATAATCTCAATTTTCCCAATTAGAAATATATTATTTAACTGTATTCTTTAAGAAATTTGATGTGGAATTGCTTTAGTGTTTCGAGCATTGTTTTGATTTTCTCTTTTTGCGGCAATATTGTGGTCCGGAAATGGTATGTGCCGGGTTTCTGGCCGAAGCCCGAGCCTGGGATCACGCAAATTCCGGTGCTCTCTAATAATTTGAACGCATAGAAAACGTCTGGTTCTTGGCCCTTCGCTTGTGCATCCTCAATCGCCTTCGGCGGCAGCTCGAAGCGCGGAAACACGTACATTGCACCCATCGCCGGATTTGCCTAAAAAGAAAAGACAAAGATAAAAAAAAATTTCTACATTGTAGAAATGATCGAGCGCAGCTTTTGTTTTTACGAAAGGACAGTCACCTTATATCCTGGAATACTATTGAGCATATCGACTATGAGGTGCGATCTCTCTGCCAAGGAGCGTAGCGTTTCGTTCTTCTCTTTCTGGAATTGCTCGTACGATGGCTCGTTCGGTCGCGGCGGATTCACCACAACGTCCATCATGACCTGGCCGAGCACGGTAGGACACAGCATCACGGAAATCGATTTCAACAGCACCTTCATCACTTTCGGATCCATGTTGATGATTTCGGTGTAACCACCGCGGATTCCGCACTCGCCCATATATCCTAAAAGTAAAATTTGTTAGCACAAAATGTTTCCTGAATTTCGAGAAACCTTTTTCAGAAAAAGGTAAAAAAAGGCGCCAAGTACAAGCGCAATGTATGTTGTAAATCCAAAAATCTTAAATGGTAGTAGCTTTATTTCCGGTGCTCTCTAACAAAATAATTCACAAAATTGCGTTACCTAAATCAACCCAAGTGATATGTATTTCAAAAAAAGATGTGAAATCTTTAAATTGCGCCAATTACAAAAATATATAATATTCACCAAAAGTATGACAACCCCTAAATATTTAAAAAGTTTCAAGTAACGCATTAAATAGTAATATTAGTGTGACTACAAATAACTTTGTTAAGGCCAAGTAAAAATAACTTTAAAATTTTTTAATAGTAACTTCTATTTTTGATTGCATATTCTTATCGCTTACCTCGAGAGCTTTTCAAAACACTATAATAAAGTATTTTTCAATTAAATACTTTTCAAGTTATGGAGCTTGAAAGCTACGATACCGCCGGCATCAGCGTTACTCAAGATGTACCGCGTGGAGGTTGCACGGTCGGATTTATACTAGCAGAGCTAGTGTAAATAACAATACTTTTGTGATTGAAGTTCTTGATTACTAATTATTTTACATAATTTTAATTTAAATTGAGTTTAAGTACAAATGTTTTTCGGAATTGTAAATAAAGTCGTTCAATTACAAATACATTTTGAAATTGTAATTAAACTCAAATTTTATTACAATTAAAAAAGTAAAAAAAGTAATTATTATTTACATTTTCTTAAATTACAAATTTTACAACCTTGATTTACATTTTTTTGTGTGTTTGAGTGTTTTAGAGTAAATTCTGAAAGTGGTTTTCATTGACTTCTTGACAGTATGCCAATCTCTGATAGAACGCAGAAATAGCTCTACGATTTTAAAACAACCTGTCTTCGAAGCGCGGATCGAGCTCGCGGTTGGCCGGGGTTCGAAGGAGGTGCGGAGAAGCAGACGGAGAGCGAGGTTGGCGAAATGAAGGCGCGTTTCGGTTACAAGAAACGAATCAAATTTATTCTATGATTATTTACAGTTTGCGCTCGCGGCATTTACATAGGTCGATGCATGCGAGGCGACGTTGGTTTGGTCGCGGGCGGCGCGGGGTAACTCGCGGTATGTGCGGGGCGGAGCCGCTGCTTTTGGTATTCGCGCGGACCGAATCGCGTGACGGCAGGTATCGGCACGGGCGGCGCCGGTTTTCCCGGCTGGCGCGGCCCGGAGCGCGGAAAAATGGCGCGAAGCGCGGCGGCGATATGAATCGCGAAGCGTGGATAACGCGGCGGAAGCGGGTCGTCGGCCGAGACACACTCGGCGAGGGCAGAGAGTGCCGGAGGCGCTCTACCGTCTTGTCCGGACAGGCTTCGGGTGATTTGGAAGAGGAGAAGCTGGTCCTTCGCCGAGACACACTCGGTGAAGACAGAGAATGCCGGAGGCGCTCTACCTTCGTATCTGGACGGCTTCGAATGATTCGTATGGGAGCGAAAGGCTGGTCGCTAGCCGAGACACACTCGGCGAAGACAGAGAATGCCGGAGGCGCTCTAACTTTCGTTCGGATTAGCTTTCGTGCGGGAATTCCGGATCGGTGTTGTCTGGAAGACGGATGGTCGGAAAATCGCGTCTTGTGCCGGCGACGCCGGGCTTTTATACGCGTCGCAGCGGCGTCGCGGCGGCGTCGCGGCGTGGTGGGGGTAGCGACGGCGATCGCGAGCGCCGGGCTGGTGCGGCGGAACGATCGGGGATCGCGGCGCCCCGACGCCGTAATCGTGTTCGGCGGTCTTCGGCCGTCTTCGGCAACGCTCGGCGCGGTGAAGCGGTTGCCGCGTTTAAGTCCCTTCGCGGACTTTCTAACGTATGCGATGATTATAAAATATGCTGGGCACATCGTGCCCGTTCTTCACCCCGCGGTTGGTCGGCGGGGTGGCCTCGGCGTGATGTTCCTGCCGGAACGATGCAGGTTTGGGGGTGCATCGTTACAATTTGATTCAGCATTAAGACTGCTTCATCCCTATTCGCTGCTTCAATTTTTGGATATTTTGAGGTTTTGTTTCGTAAACTTACTCTGTATGTGCGCTGAAAAAGACAAATTTGAGAAAATCAAAAGCGAGAGCAAAAAGTTGAACTTAGCAAATAATGATTCGAGTCAACGCGAATTACCGGCGCGGGAAACGTGAGAATGCCTATGAGTATAATGGCAAGATAGAAACGAACATAAATTTTGAAAAGGTGTATTACGTGTCAGACTTACGTACTAATCTGTTGTCGGTATCGAAGATTACGGATCGCAAGTATGAGGTGATTTGCGTGAGAAATATGCGACAGTGACGAACAAAGACGGTAGAATGATCTTTCGCGCGGACAAAATAGGAAATTTGTATTACGCTCGAAAAGGGCGCGAGCCGGTGAATAACGGAAACACAGTGCTGGTAGTAAACCACGCGAGGAGTGAGATAGATGCGTGACATCAGAGGCTCGGGCATTTAAATTAACGCGATTTAAAAAGTATAGCGAAAAGCGGTGTAGTTTACGGGTTTTTAAAAGGCAACGAGACAATGTCAAAGTGTGAAGTGTGCGTTCGCGAAAAACAAACTTGTCTTCCATTTTCGCAAAGTGAAGGAAACCAAACGAAGCATTTACTGGAAATTGTGCATTTCGATGTGTGTGGCCCGCTGCGAAGTGCGTCATTTTCGTGTACAAAATATTTTGTAACATTTATCGATGATAAATCACGGTGGTGCAAGATATACTTCATCAAAAACAAGAGTGACGTGTTGAGCGTATTCAAATTGTTCAAGGCAACGACAGAGACATCAACCGGCCGAAAAATCAAGGCGCTACAATCAGACAATGGTAAGAAGTATTGTAACAAGGAATTCGATCAATTTTTAAACAAAAACGGCATTACGAGGCGGTTATCGGCACCGCATACTCCTCAGCAGAACGGTGTAGCGGAAAGAAAAAATAGAACGCTAGTTGAAATGGCAAGATGTATGATGCGTCAAGCAGGTGTCCCTCCGACATTTTAGGCCGAGGCAGTAAACACGGCGTGTTATATAAGAAATCGGTGCATAACTAAATCGTTAAACGGACAAATACCTTACAAATTGTGGAAAAAAAAGACTCCCACAGTAACATATTTTAAAACATTCGGTTTGATAGTGTTCGCGTTAGATAAAAGCACTAAGCACTCAGCGTAGTAAATTTGATTCGAGATCGGTAGAAGGTATTTTTGTAGGGTACTCAGACGAATCAAAGGCGTATCGTGTGTGGATACCAAAATTGCGGAAGGTAATCGTAAGTCGCGACGTTCAATTTTTGGAGAAATCAGCATTTGATCGCGAGTACCAGGAGTTCCTCGAAGAAAGGGAGGAAGACATGCCGAGTACCAAAACTGAAATCAAAATAAAAAGCCGAGAAGGATCGGGAACACATGAACGGGATCGAGAGACAACGAAAGACGAAACTGAAAGCGAAACAGAAAAGCACCATCCGGAAATGTCTGGAACGCGTAAACAAAGGGCAGAACGTGATACTTACTGCGTTTACAACCGCCGAAGCGTGGAAAAAAACGACCAATATTGTTACGTTCCGGATCAGTAGAAAGACCAAAGAAAATATACCAGCCGGCGACGAACAACGATGAAAAAGGAGACGATGGAGAGGACAGCGAGTCATCCGATGACGAAGGTTTACCCGGAGAAAATTTAGGCGACGACGATACATTTCTGGAGTGCAACATGTTATCAACACGGGATGCGGTGACGTGCCGGGAAGCGAATAAAAGTGATGGTGCTGAAGCCTGGAGAATGGCATTAGAAGGCAAATATTTAGCACAAATCCGAAACGGCACATGGGAGGTTGAGCCTAGACCACGAAATCGAAAGGTAATTGGAAACAAATTAGTTTTTCAAAGAAATCGGGCCAATCACAAAAAAGAAGGTACGCCTTGTGGCGAAGGGCTGCTCGCAACGACCAGGGGAGGATTTTCACGAAAGGACCCCGCACACATCACAGGAAAAATTGGCCATCCGTCGAATTTGCTGAAATTTTAGTATGATGTAGTTCATGTCGTCCTGATCAAAAGTCATAATGTCAAAAGTCATAAAGAATGGACAGTTTCCGAGATACGTGAGGTCAAAGGTGAATAATAATGCCTTATTCGAAAATTCTATTCTTTGTGCATATCCGCACGTGAGCAATGTTGTTGTGTGCGTATGTGCCATTCTATGTGTATGTGTGTGAGCCTAGCCTGGTTTAATACATGGCAATAGTAATATGGCAATATGGCCACCTACGAAACTAATGCACGGATCGAGATCAAACTTGGCCAGCATGTTCACCGTCAAAAAAGGGTTTTATTTTTATTTAAGCATGCGTACCATGAGCATATTACCCTCACTGACGTTATATTGCCATCTGATCTCATACTCTCCGGTGTGACACAATGGCAGAGTTTCAGGATTGGTGATAGCTAATAAAGATAAGATCGGTTGATGATCCAGCCAATGAAGGCAAGATCGGTTGGTGATCCAGCCAATGAAGACAAGATCGGTTGGTGATCCAGCCAATGAAGGCAAGATCGGTTGGTGAACCAGCCAATGAAGGCAAAATCGGTTGGTGATCCAGCAAATGAAGGCAAGACCGGTTAGTAATCCAGCCAATAAAGGCAAGATCGGTTAGTGATCCAGCCAATAAAAGCAAGATCGGTTAGTAATCCAGCCATTGAAGGCAATATCGGTTGGTGATCCAGTCGAGGTATTGCTGCTACATTACAAACAAAGCAATTAATTTGATTTCGATTGCGATTTGCCATTTTAAGTAGTAGAAATAATGTTTGGAATCCACCAATGTCTTGTCACTTATATATTTTAAAATAAAAAATCTGAATGGTAGATAAAATAATTATTCACCGTTGCTAACAAAACACGGAATATTTATAGGATAAAAGCAGTTACGCGTACGTAAAGTATGTTATAATAATATTCAAATGATATTAAAATAGTACAAAGAAAAATAGTACATAAAATAATACAAAGAAGTACCAAATGGTTGTATCTGTCTGAATTATCAACTAAAGCTTTTCCTATGCTCGTCACATACAGTGCTGTGAAATAGTGGAACGTAAAATCTTCCATTTCTTGATATGGGATGCCCCCTCCAGTGGATACGAAATGCTAGCACTACATGCGTAGCATATCGGTGTAGCAAAACTCGCTGAAGTAAGATTCGGCTTCAAATAACTAAGCGAGCCGATTCTTGACAACTCGATCTACGAAGCTACGTTCACATACAAATACACATACATATGCAGAATAGCACATACGCACACAACGACACTGCTCACGTGCGGATATACACAAAGAATATAATTTTCGAATAAGGCACTATTATTGACTTTTGACCTCCCGTATCTCGAAAACTGTCCATTCTTTGACCTCGGGTCCATTATGACTTTTGATCAGAACGACATAAACTACATCATACTAAAATTTCAGCAAATTTTACAGATGGCTAATTTTCCCTGTGATATGTGCGGGGTCCTATTCTTATCCGGTGGCAAGATCATCATCCATTCGACTTCTAGCAGCCATATTGGCGGAGCTGGGGTTACAGATTCACTAAATGGATGTAGTAGCGGCATACCTCAACGGCGAATTGAAAGAAAAAGTATATATGGAGATACCTGAACAATTACAAGAAGTACTGTTAAAGATTAAGGCCGGAAAACGTGTCGGTTCGAGCAAAGAAATAAATCGCAAAAACGACGTGATACGAACTGCGAAACGTTGGATGCGATGGAACAAAACCAGGACAACGTATGTCTACTGAAAAAGGCCCTCTACGGATTGAAGCAGTCAGGGCGACAATGGTACCGGCGTCTCGTATCGAAGCTAAAACAGCTGGGCATGAAACAAACCGGTCAAGACCAATGTATCTTTACATCATCAAGGAAAAATGGTCGGTTTATGATGATCGTAATCTACGTTGATGATATCTTGATCGCTACGAACGATACTGGCTTAACAAAGTAAAAAAAATCGTTATCCGAATCCTTTGTAATAAAAGACCTCGGACGCGTAAATCAGTGCCTTGAAATCAAATTCCGGCAGAGCAAAAACAATTATAGTGTCATTTTGAGCCAACAAAAATACACAGAAGCTATCCTTGAACGTTTCGGCATGCAGGATTGTAAACCTGCGAAAACCCCTATCGACACGAACAAGCAATTGATGAAACCAACGAGGGTAAACGGAAGGATAATGAGTCAATACCCATATCAACGTCTCATATTGGAGCACTTATGTATCTGGCAGTGACTACTAGACCTGATATCGCGTACGCAGTAAATTTCATAAGCCAATTTAATACCAATTATTATTCAACGGAGCATTGGGTGGCAGCCAAGAGGATCCTCCGATATCTGAGGGGCACCATGAATCATGGCATTATGTACGAAATATCAGGCATACCGTTATATGGAGTGGTCGACGCGGACTGGGGCGCCAACATGGTCGATAGGCGATTATATTCTGGGTATGCGTTTATACTCGCAGGAGCGGCAGTGTGCTGGGAAGCTAGGAAAGAAGAGAGAGAGAGAGAGAGAGAGAGAGAGAGATTAACAAAAAAAGTTTCGAAAATATAGCAGTTATTTTAAGTACTGAGAGGCATAAACGACTAATATTACGTTTTTCTTTAAAGCAGAGAATACTTTATTTCGCGAGAAAGTCGCTGCGTTACCAAAACACAACATTTAAAGCAGTAAATTGTTGATAAATTGAAGTCTTTTTGTTAAAGCAGAAAATACTTTATTTTGCGAAAAAATCGCTGCTTTACCAAAACACAACATTTAAAGCAGTAAATCGTTGATCACTAACCTACATAAGTTAGTTGACGCGCTTTAAAAGTATTTAAGTGTTTAAAGCGCGTCAACTAACCTATATATGCACCTATATATGCTCTATTTTCCAAACTTTTTTTGTTAATAACTTTTTAACGAATAGCGAGCGACGGCTAAAACCTTTTGAAGGTCACTCGGGGTCATGACCTTGACAACATATATCAAGGTCATTGAA